TTCCATAAACTCATATTAATCAACTAGAGATTATCAACGATAATCGCTAACATATACTTCAAATTTATGTATACTGACGTTACCAAATTGATCATAAATTCGTGAGATTGATTAATGAAACCAATCCGTCGCTCCCTTCATTAAGTTAGAAAATGATTGAAGATATTTCCATTTTCACATTCACATTCAATCTAATATCACAAGCACGAGTAAGATCAGATATTTCCTCTAAATTATTGAACAATTCTTGGCATTTTCTGGGTTAGGTTTACATGTATGTCCACGTGGATATGACAATTGCCATCTAATCATATAAATTATAAGCATTTTAGATAATTACTTATTAACTATGAAAAGAAGCTCGTAGAATTAGTGGCTGCTTGGCAATTAGCATATTCTAAAATTATATTTCAATGTGGTACCAAAAATTGTCCCAACACTCGAAAATAATATTTAAGTGCTTTAAAAGTCATTAGTACCATAACACGTTTTCCACACTGCGAGTTTAAACCATAGAGATTTGTAGTCCAAGTATGAACACCAAGAAATTTGACATTCTTAAGGATTCGTTTCATGTTGTTGTGCATTTAAGATATATAATTACCTTTTATTGTGTTGAATAAAGAATCGACAAAAGAAAGAATCATTCATGTGTCTGGTAAACTTTGTTTTTGAATTGTTGTACATTTCAAGATCGCCATTTTAGAGTTTGATAAATAAAATTGATTTATTGCTGCATCGGTATATATTTACTAAGGAAATTGGTTATCGTCGTCGTTAATGGTATTATAAAATTTATCTATGCTTTTATAACGATGTAATATTATCGAATATATTTTAAAATAATAAAAATAATATATATTAAATCTCAATCTATAAATTACTAAATAAAAGTAGAGTCAATTACTGAAAAATAATATACAAATATTAAAATACATTTAAATTACCTTGAATGCACCGGATTCAATTGATAGGTTTATATAGAGTGAATTAATTTAATTAATTAGAGTTAAATTATTTATTTTAATTATTAAATGATATAATAAGCTAAAAAAAGAATTTGTAAAGCTACACTTTTGCAAGTTCTCGAAACACGTTGTCAACGGTGTAGATTATTTTATAATCAAACTTCTTAAAATTTATCAAACACTTAAAACAACTTTTGATCGTATGATAGTTGGAAATTGAGCTCTAAATTCAATTCCAAATGGAGCCTAATACACGTTTGTTGGGACATTAAGGATCGAACAAGCTTTGAAAGAAAATTTTCATATACTCGAAGAGCCTGCAACTTGATATCCAGAAGCATTTTGACCTACTTTAACGAGTTCTAATTGACATAAGATTCAACTCAACCTTTCAAAGCAAAACCCATGTTCTTCAGTCACATTGAAAGAGAACACATCCTGTCGTGAATGATATAATTCCATCGAAAGATTAGGCCACTTAGTATAAGTTAAGATTGGTGAATCTTAATCCAAATGGTGGTTGTGACCGAATACAATAGTGAAGTAGTAATAAAGTTAAGATCGGAGGGTTTGATTCCACTTCTCTAACGAGTTAAAAGGAATAAAAAACGAGGGAGTTGTTCTTTATTTTTGCGTCTTGATTAATTAATTTGTTCTTCACGCCATCTTTGAGTTCTTCCATACTTAATCCTGCTATAGATTATTATTTGCAAAACATAAATCTATTTAGTCGCTTCACTAAAAAATGCACGTAAAACTACTGGTTGAAAGTTTTAACTGATTGACGTATTTTTGGCTGTAACTTATAGTTGAGATAAATTGTTTAAGTAACTAGGTTTAGATATTTACATTGAACCAAATAACAATTTGAAATACATTACATTCCAATATTTTGCATCACCAACTTTGAATTCACCATTTCTTAATAAATCATTTATCTTTAAAAGACAATCGAGAGAATAACATGTTTGACGAAGCACGACAAACCATGGAAAATTCTAAATGGTCGCATTAAAGAAGGTAAGCCCTCTATGATGACTTTGTCATATTTTTATCATTAATCTTCTATTAGTAAGCGTGTTTTGTATATAATGACCAAAAAAATTGTGACGAGGGAGTAAAATACTTATTTTTATTTTTAAATAAGCAAGATAAACAATAAATAAATATGAAAGTTCAATAAAATGTTCCCCATGTTGATAAAATGATTGGACAGAAATCGCCAACCAGACACAAAAAGTGAAAATTAATTAAAAATTTAAAATATGATTGCTGTGGAAAAAAGTTGAAAAAATAAAATTATAATATTGAGCAAAAATTGATAATCATTGTTATAATTAAAATGTGGTTTTCCCCTTATCCCTTAGTGCTTCCAGCTAGTGAATTTACTCATTTGGACAACTCAGTTTTAGCTAAATTTGGACAGGAAACTGTCGGTGGGAGTAAAGCGTGGAGGTTATCTTTGTCCATTTCGATCGTACCTAATCATTAATTGGTTTATATTACTGGTTACACCGTGTCAAAAATTGAGTATCCATGACACGCACGCGTGGTCTAATATCAACTACCAACGTACTTTGGTGTGTTTGAGCACCTTATACGAATAAAAAAAAAAAAATCAGATTTTGTAATAGTGAATTTTTCGTGAATGTGTAGTTAAAAAGTAAAAAAAAAAAAAAAAAAATTAAATTTATGTGTAAAATTATTTTATCGAGAACATGTGTGATTGAAAATGAGTTTGATGAGAAAAAATGAATTTACAAAAAAATAGAGCTCAAATAGAAGCTTTACACTATGAAAACTTGTCGCCAAGTTCAAAATAAAAATAGTTAGGGTCCATTATGAATTGTGAAAATCGAACGATTAATTTTATGGGCATGAAATGAATTGACCAATTCCGATCTGGTTCAGTTTAATACTTTCCAAACTTTTTTTACTCATAAAATAACTTGTAAAATGTTAATGGTCATATACATTATTTTTAGACGATAAAATCGTTAATTATTTTGAACACGTATCAGTTTATATAGATTCATATAAATTATGATTTAATTGAGAAGTTATAAAATAATAATTTTTGATCCTAACCAAAATAATACATTTTCTCGATCCTAATATTATTATTTTATAGAATTTTTACTATACTAGGGAGTTCAAAAAAACATTTAACGTCCACTATACTTTTCTTCAGGCATCCTTTTTTTTTTTTCCATCATACAATAAATGATATCTTCATATGTAAACGTGAATATTAAGTTTCTTTCTTTCTCCTCCCACTTTCTTTTTTATAAAAATTGAATTGTCAAATACCATATTTCACAGAGACTGCATTAATATTTCATCGTTATAATGATAAATAACATTATTCTTTTTTAAAAAATGGTTTTACCCAAAAAAAAAAAAGAAAAAAAGAAAAAGGCTTGTTCATGGCAAGTGTTGGTTTGTGCATTGTCTTTGGCCAAGCGTGAAAAAGGCTATATAGCCTTTGATCTTTTTTTTTGTTTTCTTTTTCAAAATACAGTTTTTTTTCTATTTTATTTTTAACCATATATTTTTCAATAAAATAATATTATACGCAAACAATTTTTTTTTCCTTCATTTTTAATTATGTATTCTGCATCAATCTACTATTTGAAAATGCATTCTAAAAAAAAAAAAAAAAAAAGGCCTCCCATAGTCAAAGAACACAAAAAACAAGCCGGCTTATTCAAATTCTGTGGAATTAACGGCTCTACCTCTTGATAAGGGGACTTCAGACTTGGTCATGTCCACGACTTTCATTTTTCATAAAAAAATCAAAAATAAATAAATAAACATTAATCTTTAAAAACTTGTATATTTTTTTTTATTTTTTATTTTTGTTTTGCTAAATTTTCCGGTTCTCCTTCCGTTTTTGAGAGAGACAAATGTTTATTTGAATCATGTATTAATTTTTGAGAGAAATTCAATCGAATTCACGGGAGGAACTTTCAATTATAGGAGCAGTTAAGGTTGAAATTTCCATATTTTCTTGTTATTTATTGAAGGTTTCAGTCAATTTTGTGCATTTGGCATTTTCAAAATTAGGGCAGCCAAATTTTGTATTCAATCCAGGAAAGCAGTGGTAGGTAGATGGAAAAGGAAAATGCAAAATAATTTCATTGTCAGTTTTTTTGTTTTATTTCCCATCGTCCCTTTCGTGATTCCGTCTCCAATTTTTGTTTATTTTCAGAATATTTATCCTTTTTGCAATTCTTCAATTTTGTTGAATTACTGTAAATTCGACAGAGAATATGCTACGTGTGAATTTGATCTTCAATTCTCTTTAGATTGGAATCAAAATCAAAGACGCGTTGAGCTGTTACCATACACCTCTCTCTCTCTACGTCTTCTTCAATACAATATTGATTCTTTCTTTTTCTCTCTCTAGATTGCAAGCTGTACAGACTTTTTGTACTATCTCGACGGTCAACAGCCTCCCCATCCCATTTCTGTATTTTCTTTTCAGAATTTATAATTATAATAATAATTAGAGCAGTTTGATGTAATCTTTTGAAAATAGATTTTTAGTTAAAAGTAATATTCAAAGGATACGTGATTTAAAAATAGAAAAAAAAAAAAAAATTCACTGAAAGAATATACAGTTAAAATGAGTTTGAAAATAATGAATTTTAAAGAATTTATAAATATTTCTTTTGAGTTTCTATCCCCTTATAATAATCTCAAGTAAGCTTCCTCTTCCTCTCCCACGCGTTCCGTCCATTCCTCTTACTCACTTTCTCTCACTAAAATGAAGTTTTTGTAGCATTCACCGTCTCCCAACGTTTCCAGGATTTGTCTGTCACATTCAGTTTTAGCAGTTCAAGCTCAAAAACCCACAAAAAAGCCAATTCCGAGTATTTCCCCTTCTGGGTTTTGCACTAAAAAGCCTCTTAAATCTTTGATCTTTTGGCCTCTGTTTAGCAGGTTTTTCACATTTCATTCATAAAATTCGATCTTTGGATCTTTTTTGAAAAATTCACATTTGAAACCTTCATCTGAGTCTTGTATGAAATGGCACCATCTTTGTACTGGTGGGCGAAGGAAACTCACAGGGGGACCCCTGTGGTTGTGAAAATGGAGAACCCAAATAACTGGTCCATGGTGGAGCTTGAGTCTCCTTCAGAGGAAGACTTCATGTACACAAACGGCGGCGTTCCCAAAGGAGGCCGGAACAGGAACGCCAAGCAGCTAACGTGGGTTCTCCTCTTGAAAGCCCACAAGGCTGCCGGCTGCCTTACGTCCATTGCATCCACATTCTTCTCCCTTACCTCTGTCATACGCCGCCGCGTCGCCTCCGGCCGCACTGACTCCACCGACACCACCGAGACCGAAAACCCGGCGGTCAAGTCCCGGTTTTACTCCTGCATTAAAGTCTTTCTCTGGCTATCTTTACTCCTGCTCGGTTTTGAAATGGCTGCATATTTCAAAGGGTGGCACTTTGGTGCACCAGATCTTCAGTTGCAGTACCTTTACACTTTGACAAATCCTTTGGCTGTGAAGAGTGTGTTTGATTCCCTCTATTCTAACTGGGTTTTTATCAGGATGGAATATCTTGCTCCACCCCTCCAGTTCTTAGCTAATGTCTGTATAGTTCTCTTCCTTATCCAGAGCTTGGATAGGCTAATTCTTTGTTTGGGTTGCTTCTGGATCAAGTTCAAGAAAATCAAACCAGTTTGCAACCAAGAACTTGTAGATCTAGAGTCTGGAGATGGTAATGACTATTTCCCTATGGTCTTAGTTCAGATCCCCATGTGCAATGAAAAAGAGGTAACTTTATTTCCCAATTTAGAGCATGTTTGGAACTTAATTATTTCCCATTTTGATCTATAAAAGGGTACTAATTTTGAAGCTTACTCATTAATTATAAATAACCTCTTTCAGCTCCAGCCGCTATTCTTTTAATGGTATAATTTTTGTTATCTTGGTTTTGTTACTAGTGGCGTGACTTGAATTGTTCTGTTGTTATTTGTGAATCGTGATAGGTTTATCAACAATCTATTGCGGCTGTGTGTAATTTGGACTGGCCTAAAGGGAATTTGTTGATTCAAATTTTGGATGATTCAGATGACCCCTCGACCCAGTCGTTGATCAACGAGGAGGTGAATAAATGGCAGCAGGAAGGTGCCAACATTGTGTACCGACACAGAGTGATTAGGGAGGGGTATAAAGCTGGCAATCTTAAGTCTGCAATGAACTGCGGCTATGTTAAGGATTATGAATTTGTTGCCATATTTGATTCTGATTTTCAGCCCACGCCTGATTTTCTTAAAAGGACTGTTCCTCACTTTAAGGTGTTCTTCAGCTACCTAATTATGGATTTTCCTTTTAATTGTTTATCCCCTTAATTTCCAATGTAATTATAAATTCACATCCAGAAAGTTATGCTTCATGGATTTCCTGTTTACTTTTTGGAATGGAGCTACATTATCATTGAAGTATTTATTGGCACTATTTATTGCATTGTAGCCATATGCATGATTTCCTTCTAGTGGTGTGTTTGGTGCACAACATTGGATGCATTGGATGGGACAATAAATAAGATTTTAACTTCTTTTTCTTTTTAATCCTGTCCAATCCTATGCAATCTAGTGTGCCAAACATGTCAAAACTGTGCGAGTTTGGTTCAGAAAATAAATGTTTTGTCCTCACATTGAATTGTAGGATAACGAGGAACTGGGACTGGTTCAAGCAAGGTGGTCATTTGTGAACAAGGATGAAAACCTACTAACTAGACTGCAGCTCATTAATTTAGCTTTTCATTTTGAGGTGGAGCAGCAGGTGAATGGAATTTTTCTTAACTTCTTCGGGTTTAATGGGACTGCCGGTGTATGGAGGATAAAAGCATTAGAGGATTCTGGTGGATGGTTGGAGAGGACCACGGTCGAGGACATGGACATCGCTGTTCGTGCTCATCTTAAAGGTTGGAAGTTCATCTTCCTCAATGACGTCGAGGTATTTTACTGCAACAATCTGATCCTGGGGCATTATATTTATTTTCTTTTGGGAACCAAACTAATTTTTTTTCTTATATTAATTTTCAGTGTCAATGTGAATTGCCGGAATCTTATGAAGCTTACAGGAAGCAGCAACACAGATGGCATTCGGGGCCTATGCAATTGTTCCGTCTCTGTATGCCAGATGTCATTCGATCAAAGGTATGTGGAGATATGTTTGATAGGGATGATTTGTATTAAGTAGAAAAAGAAATTAAAATCTTGTTTATTATACACTGTCAAGTTGAGTCTAATCGAAAATGCACGAAGTGTGTTGTATTTTGTGTGTGGTGGAATTGAAGTGGACTTTATTTGTTTATGCTTATTTGCTTGCTAAATTTGTTGATGCAGATCAGTATTTGGAAGAAAGGCAACATGATTTTTCTCTTCTTCCTTTTAAGGAAACTGATACTCCCATTCTATTCATTCACTCTATTCTGCATCATTCTTCCTATGACTATGTTCATTCCAGAGGCTACTCTCCCGACATGGGTTGTCAGTTATGTACCTGCAACAATGTCGTTTCTGAATATTCTCCCTGCACCAAAGTCGTTCCCCTTCATTGTGCCTTACCTTCTTTTTGAGAATACCATGTCAGTGACGAAGTTCAATGCTATGATCTCTGGCCTTTTTCAACTTGGAAGTGCGTATGAGTGGGTTGTCACTAAAAAGTCTGGTCGGTCCTCAGAGGGTGATCTTAGTTCCTTGGTTGAGAAGCATCCCAAGCACCAAAGAGGGAGCTCAGAGCCTAATTTAGTGGAAATGCGAGAGGAAATTAAGCAGCAGGAGCAGAGGGCTTCTCGGAAGAAGAAGCACAACCGAATATATACCAAGGAGTTGACACTAGCTTTCCTTCTTTTGACAGCTTCAGCGAGAAGTCTCTTGTCTGCACAAGGGATCCATTTTTACTTCTTGCTCTTTCAGGGCATATCTTTCCTTCTCGTGGGGCTCGACTTAATTGGTGAGCAGGTCGAGTAACTCAATGTAGGAAGGTTTAATACTAAACACATGTAAATCCATAGTCAATCATTTCTGGGATAGATGCCGGATATTGAAAGTTAATAATACTTCATGGAATGTGAAAGCTGAACATTCAATAGGAGCTGTGTGGAAATGCTGGTTTGTGGAGATGAATGTGTCTTGTCCTTTCCCACTATAACCAGACCCAAAAACCGTTCTATAGGAGAATGCAGCAGAAATTATGGCACGAAATTGGCACGAAATGGTGATATTCATTAAATTATCAGGTTTTGTAATTTCTGTCTTTCTAGATTCTTTTGTTTTGTTGGTATATTCTTTTGTAAGAAGAATTCGTCGTTCAAAAATCAAATAAGAAATTTAATGACAGCAGCTAAAATAGTAGGAGAGGGATACTTTGCATCTTCTCGGTGGATAACAATGTTGTTCTATTTATTTCACAGATATATGCTGCTGCTGCTGTTCTTTTAAATTATATTGCTATCTTTGGTCGATATTTGAGTAGACATAACTACTAACCAAATGAAATGAAGGATTATTCCTTTAGTCGTTCATATATAAAGCTTAGCTTGTTCTCGTTATATCGTAGATATATTTATTTGATGTTTCACATACTTGTAGCTTGGAGATGTAATTTCTTAAAATTTGAAGCAGAAACAAAACATTTTGGTAGAACACTTCCTCCTACCTACCTCTCCTCGGTCCTCCATTCGTCCGACCAGAGGTGTGGATCCTGACGAGGCTACCTTTACAATACATCCTTCTCCTTCTGTCCCGATGTACGGTGGATCGCTTGAGTTGTTCAACTGACCCTGAGCCTGGTGCTCACGATGTGCTACAGAACCTCCACTGTAGGAACCGACTCGGCATCAGTGGCTTCGTGCCGCACATTAAAGTTGTAGTCCCTAATTAAATTAGTTAGATCAAACACTTAATGAATTAAGGCCCTCTTGTGATTTGGTAGCTAAGAACTTGAATGTAACATTGATTGGGATAGTCCTATTTGTGGGTGAGTTACATATGGGCTATGGTCCATCAATCAAGTTTTTAATAAATCAGACCGCTTAGCTGATTTCATGAATGATACCATGTGAAGTATAGTAGAAATGGCTGGTCAAGAACATGTCACCTATGATTGACAGCATAACAAAATAGGTCCAGATTTTGTCCAGTACTGAATGAAAAAATTGTTATATACAAAAAATGTCGATTGTGTGGCATGCAAAAACAATCCATACTTTTAATTTTGTTGCATTATTCGCTCTTAACATTCGTCACTTACCCAACTCTTATCAAATAATTTTTGAATGTCAAATAGACCAATTCAATATTATGCCTCTGTTTGATACCGATTAAAATCAAGATTTTAATTTAAGTCAAAGTCAACAATTCATTTCAACTATATATTTTATGATTCCCACAACTTTTCAACCACATATTTCATCAATTTCTATCCAAATTTAATAAAAAAGCTGATTTTAATCTCGGGCTATGTAATTTTCTCTATCATTTAAAACTAATTTCAATACAATATTACTTTTTGTGATTAAATTTTTTATTTCCAAAGGAGATTTATGATTTTATTTGCACTAGTCAGATGTACTTCTGAATGGGGCCCAAATGTACTCTCTAATTAATAAAAATAAATAATTCTAACCCCTTTTTAGATGCTCAGCATGTGATATCAATAGCAAAGAGCCCGTATGAAAATTTAAAAGGGCAAAAAAAAAAAAAAAAAAAAAAAAAAAAAAAACATATTTTAAAATA